TTGACTATGTCCCTGCTGCCACAATCTATTAAAATGTCAGCCAATTAAATGACTACCTGATCCAGAAGGGACAACAGCAATGCTCTTGAAAAAAGGGTTTCTCATGTGCCCAAGAATTCTAAATAGGCTCTACTTAGAACCCTTTCATAAATGGAAACTCTCTGTTGTAGGAATCTACATAGAAGATAGAACCTCGAACGTTTCAGGTTACTGGAAACTTTTTTCCCCTAAATGGGCATATCATTTAGCAAATTGTGAAGAAATGACCAAAAGCAAATCATCCATATAAAAAAACCTGAAACAAACCCAGTCTGACACTGAAGCGGCTGTATCTCTCAAGACAGTGAGCAGCAGTGAGAACCCACACTTCATCAATCAAGACACCTCCGCAGTGAAATTGTCCTTTGGCATTCAAGATAAGAGCCTGAGAAGGAAACACAAATATAAATGGTACCATGTTGAAAAGCTCCAATACAATTTATCTGAACCTAATCAACACTGTAAACATTCCCTTGTTGACCTCCCTGTCATCTTGTCATCTTGTACTCGTCCTCAGTAGTGAGCATAAACATGCATGAACCAATTTCCTTGGTGAGGTGCACACTACATTTACTTCGAGTGGTATGGCCAAGAAGACATCAGATTATTGCAAAACTTTAACACAGAGTATGTTTCAGATTGTTTTCACACTTGTGATGTTTTCTGGACTTGGGGGCCTTTTGCTCTGAGAGCTCAGTACATTTGGTGTAGTGAGAAAACTCTTTTCAAGTCCGGGAGTTGTCCAGAGAACAGATCTCTTTGTATGATGACATAGTGTGCATCTAAAAACACTGTTCTTCACTGCTTGAGTGTTGGTACCAAAGGAAAATTATAACCTAGAACCATAACAACCACAAAAGTGGCATATAAAATTGTGCAATCGAGCCACTGTTTGGAAGAAATTCTTCTACGTGAAAGCAAACCTGCGATCCTTGCTTATTCTTATACCTGCCAAGGACTCTCTCCCCTTTTGCCAACTTCACCACCAACGAGCCAAGGTTGTAGACCTTCAATGGGCTTTGTTCTGTAGGACGACTTAGGGATCAAAATCTGTCCACAAGACTGCTGATCTGAAAATCAGGGACAAATGCACCATGATGTACACTCATTAAGGTCAAATATTAACAATATGGAGACCTGGAATGCACTTAAATTCATGTATAGCAAAAAAATCTCTGTGTCCTCACTTTTTGGAGCACACTGTTTAAAGTCTTCATTGAGTGTGTATCCATTAATGCAGCTGCAGTAGCGCCCTGTCTTGTCTTTTCTCTCGTGGCAGTTGTGATCACAGTCTCCGTTGTCCACCGAGCAGTTCCTGTGTGTGCTATCTGAAGGTGAAATCAGTCTCAGAATACAGTTGTAAAGGAAAAAGCCACCCTGAACGACTTGCATATTAATCTTTATAATTAATATGTGATCTTCAATGGCATCCAAGTTTTATTAACTTATTAATTATTAACTTCTTTCATTGATGTTGCTCTGTTTTCATTTTGGTTAATGCGTTCAACTACCTGCTGATAGGGGAGCAGTGGGATTTAGCCCTTGCTTCATCTCTATCTAAAGAGAGCGATGCAGCGGCGCTTTAGTCCTTTAGTTTGTTCAGATCTCTAACCTCTGCATCTGTACACTCTATTCAAACAGACCAGGTTACAAAGCTTAAACTTTCATGCTAATCCAATGCCATTATGCTCATCATCTTGTTGATTACTAATTAGCCAGGCCGAGTATCTGCTGTAACTCAGTGTTACTGCATTGTGTAGCTGCGTTGCATTCTGGGACTTTGACCCCAACGTCTGCACCAACATCTCCACTACTTCTACGCTGAATCTATCATTAATATGATGTTAAAGATGGTTTGAAAATGCTGAGGAAGTTAACAGTGAAACCTGACCTGACAGCACCTAAAAACAAATTAGCACCAGAATCATAATATGTGTTGTGATATGTTTAGTGATTCTGGTGCTAATTATATATTAGCACCAGAATCACATAGTGAACATAGTGCACATAGTGATTCTGGTGCTATTTTATATTAAAATATTTTAAAAATAAAAATAATTCATATGTTTCAGAATGGGGTTTTCCTACAATACATTATTCCACAGCACATACTGAAAATATTTATGAAGTGCTACTCAGAACAATGTTATTTAAAATCCTTCTGGAATTCAGACTCTTGTAGATGGCAGTATACTCCTTCAAAGCCAGGATGCAAATATAAGGACCTGTACAGATCCACACAAACTCCTTTCTTGCAGGCATTCGGGACACCCTCATTCCCATCTGACAAGTAATAAACAATAATACACAAAAAAGCATGTGGTTTAAGTGATGATGCCAAAATTTACCTTAAATAAACCCAACACTCACCTTCATAAATGGTCCAGAACCTTAACTGTTAGAGAAGAAGAGCAGACATTATCTGATATTGCATTGTGAAGGAGCACAGATGTAAGAATCATAAGATGAAGAAATGACTAACTGTGGCCTCTTTGGTTCGGTAGATCTCTTTAGCCTCTTCAAAGTCACACCGCTCTTCTATACACTCTCGCTCCAAAGATGGAGACTTCAGTTCCTCCAGAATGGAATTGGCCCTTCTGGAGCGCAGGAGCATGTGTGCCTTTGGACTGCTGTAAAAAACTGATCCATACACTAAAAAATCAATAGCTTTTTATTATTAGGGCCTGATACCATAAAGTGGAATATATGGAACTGAATATGAATATATTATTCAGATTGAACAGTTAATGTTCTAAACAAATACGAATAGAGATACGAATAGGAAGTGCACTATTCATTTATTATTATTATTATTATTATTATTATTATTATTATTATTTTAGAAAGCTTGTCAGCTAGCTTTATGGTGTGTGCACCAAGAATGAAGCTCTCATGCAGGGTTGCCAGATTTCAACAAAATTCCCATCTCAACTTCAACTCAAAAAAATGCACAAAAAGACTTCAAATTAGCCAAAACGACGCAGGCATTGGACAGCGAGAAGATTTTTTTTTCTCAGTCTTTGTGTGGAGAACAAGTTAACGATGGTGTGCACACATTTCTGATTTATTCATAGATCTGACACGTAGCTCACATGCTGTGCAAAGGGCAGAATATCTCCACTCAGATCGCCCAAAAAAATTTAAATAAATAAAGAAAAAAGACACATTTTAATATGTTATTTATGTTTTTTGCTTATATTGCCCAAAGGTGCCAATAATTCTGGATATGCATGTAGCAATTTTAATTTTCAGGTCATACCTGACATACAGACAGCAGAAGCAGCCCAGAGGAAAATCAATGCAAAGCAGAGGAAAGTCCTTGCCATGGTCACTGCAGACATAACAACAGTCAAATCCTCATTATTATTTATTATATAAATAATATTAATATAGAAACAATGCAAAAATACAGGGAACATTTTAAACAAAACAGAAAGAGGGTGGGATTGGAGCGTAAATTATTCTGGATTTACCTCTACATCTGAGTTTGTTTGTTTGATAATACTGGTTAAAAAGCAAAGAAAAGCTGTCTTACTAGATGGCAGATCTGACCAACACACTGTCTGTTTCTTTCTCACAGAAGATCTAGACGGAGAAATACATACATCAGAAATTGTAGGTTAGAGCTGTAACTCTTTTAGTCGTGTCCCTATTCCTCAAACTCCATTATCAGTTTCCAATAATCGGTATATAAGCATATAGCTGCTAGACACAGAGATGAAATATCAATAAGCTTCTAAATGTAGAGCCAAATAAACAATCAAGTAACCATTATACTTACATGCTGAAAAATAAAGAGCAGAGATGGTGGATGTTCTGTTTAAATTGTGTTAATGACTGACTAATGTGCTTACTGAGAGTCTGTTCCTGCCCTCTAACCTCTGGACAGCTTGAATTCAGAAATCTAAACCACTGGAGGTTACAACGTACTAAACGATCAAATCACTGCTAATGTTTCCAGACAAAATAATCTATGGCTAAGAATAACCTGATTATAAAATGTGTTTTTAATTAACAAAAAACATATAGTCACTGATATTGTGGAATTTTCTGTAAGGAGATGTTTATTGAACAATTTTGGAGTCGCCAGTGTTAGTGATTGGTAAAAGTCACAGAACAAGATCATTCTACACAGAAGCTTTATAAACATCCTATTAACATCTCTGGTTCAACGTCAAGCAATGAGTTCATTTTAAAATCTCTAAAGCAAACCAAATTAAGTAATAAGTAGAAATGAGACATGTCTATGAATTTTAAAGAATGTAGCTCTAATTGGAAAAGGGTGAAATCTTCATCTCTTGAATTACACATTTGTGGCATATGATATTTATTTGTCTTATGCCCTATTTGGATGGGGTTAGTTCCATGGGGTGACGTCGATAATAACATTTTTGCCCATCTCCTCTGTGATAAACATCCTGCTTACAGACAGCGATTAAATTAACACAGTAGGGACGAGTTTCTCTCATTTGTTTTGCCTACGAATCTGGATGATTGCATGACACATAGTCGTGTGATCATATTTATTTATTTGGTAGCATCTAATGTTAAATCATTAAAGAGCCTATATAATGATACAACTTTTAATTGATTTATTTATTTAATAGTAAACTAAAATTATATTGTGGCATATGTGAATAATAAGTGGCTTTATTTCCTTTCTCCTGCTAATATGCAGAAGTTTGAATAAGGCCCATAAAAAGTTGAGATCATTTTCGTGAATCTGGAAGTGGATATTCGTGCATGAGATGACTAAGTAAGGTGAGAAGCAGCAGACAAAATCACAGATGTATATATCCTTGGGACTATACTGATCAGACAGACATAGATTTGGTAAACAATTTCTGAGAATTTGGATTGAACAGGGCTCTACAACATTTGGCAGACACCCTTATCCAGGGTAGCTTACATTTATCTCATTTACACAACTGAGCAGTTGAGGGTTAAGGGCCTTGCTCAAGTAACAGTGCTGGATTTTGAACTCACAACCTTTCAATCAGCAGTCCAAGAGCTTAACCACTGAGCTACCACTGCCCTTGTGATACAATTAATAGTAGCACTGTCTACAAGTCTAATTAGGGTTTTTGAGCAGCCACTTAACAAGTTCTCCTATCTATCCAACTTTGGACTTTATAATAATAGTGGATTGTCATAATTAACTTTGTGCACAGTAAGGATGATATTGATTTGTAACTGAATGACAGACAGAACATGTCTAAAGCAAAAAAAACGATCACTGCTGCTTTTTCACACTATTAATCCACTCCAGGTAATTGGAGACTTTGGTGTAGATGCCCAGTTTGTCCGTGTGGCCACAGCCCTCGCCCGCGGATACGAGGCCGATGAGGAACCACGTGTTGCGATATAGCGTCATCATGGGGCCGCCGCTGTCACCATGGCACGCGTCCCCGATGCTCCCGATGCTGCCGGCACACAGCATGTTCTTTGTCAGGTTGGTGACCATGTGGCGTGCACACTCAGATTGCTCCACCAGTGGCACGCTGATGTGTTTGAGATCCGAGCTGTGTGGCACTGTCCTTTCTTTTTCCGTGCCCCAGCCTGTCACCACCATCATGGTGCCGTTGAGGTGGAGCACACGCTCGGCCAGGTCTTGACTCGGCAGACAGGCAGGGACGATGTACCTGCTGAATGTTACGGGCAATGCCAAACGCAGCAGAGCTATGTCATTGTCCACCGTTAGGCTATTGTATTTTGGGTGGGGGACAATTTTCATCACAGGAAGGGTGACCTCGGATCCTTCGAACTTGAAAAGTTTGTAGTCACCTAAAGGGAGGGAATGGTCATTTGCCTAGAAAATAAACGCATTTTTATGCATTTCTATACAGCATTTGCATAACTGCCCACCATAATTTGACCAAATTTAAGGGCAGCATCATAAGTGTCCTTGATCATGTTGGCAATCCAGTAATTCACAGGATCTGTGTGCCATAAAATGTTGATAGGCATGGTAGACAAACTATGGCTCTGTCCAAGGAATATGCTTACAAGCATACATGAATTGTTCATTTCTGTGCTAGCTACCAATCTTATTTTGTTTCGTGTTAGTGTTTTATAGATTACCAAATTCATTCCATGTTTAACGTGAATCAGCTATTATAACATGACACACAGTATAGGTATGTAGCTTTGTTAGAAATTTGGCAAGAGTGAGTCAGGATCCAGGAGACTGGTGTTGATCTTCAGACTCTGATGTTTATTGTGTACTTGAAGAATCTTCAGATCAGTGTTTTACCAATAGAAGCAAAACTTCAAAAAGGGTTCACCAGCTCACTCTCGAATTAACAGTATCAGTTACACATCACACCAAAACACAAAAAATGAAAAATACAGCATCTTTGCTAAACTCCCATCCACTAATTTGCAAGCCAGCAACTTAGCAGCTTGTGAACAAATTTCTGTGAACAGTAGACTAAAAAAATAGCTGCACCTAGATTGAGATCCATTCTCACATAACCTGATAAACTACAAAGCAATTGTGAATAAGCAAATGTGATGTGCACATTTCATTATGTGTGATGACATGCTGAAAATAAAGGGCATCACGAATGCAATGCAGATGACAGTTATTTACATTATCTGTGTGGCAGCAGGGGGCATGGGCAAGTCATAGAGAATGAGCAGGTAACAAGTGATTGTCTACATCTGTGTGGTTTATAGCACCCTATTTATATTCCTTTCTTCTTCATACACATGTGGACAATCAAATGAAAAATATTCTTGCCACATTGCCCACTCCTAGTTGTAGGATTCCACATAGAACCTTTAGGGGTTCTCCAAGAGGAACAAATAGGTTGCTGAATGGAACCTTTTTTTTTTCTAAAGATTAACACGTCATTAATAAAAATTTGCCAAAAGCAAATCTACCATAACAAAATAACAAAAAACAAAAAACAAACCTAGTCTGACACTGAAGCGGCTGAATTTCTCAAGACAGTGAGCAGCAGTGAGAACCCAGAGTTCATCAATCAAGACGCCGCTACACAGAAATTCTCCTTTGGGATTAAAGATAAGAGCCTAGGAAAGAAACACAAATATAATTAGTACTATGTTGAAAAGCTTCATCATGGTCTTTGTGAACCCTCATTTCAGTACTCTTTTAAACAAGCGCTTGTTGACTTCCATGTTGACCATTTCCTTGACTCTTTGCACACTGTATTTACTTTAAAATGCTTAGGAGACAACCATTTCAATGGATGATTGCAAGACATCAACATCAAGTATAGTCATGAGAAAAAGAAAGTCCACCCTCCTTCAGTTCTACTGTATGTTTTTAGTTATGAAGACCTAAATAACAACTGTACGGTCCTTACCAACTTCTATAAACAAACAAATAACCTCAGGTGACAACAAAAAAACACAATGGATTTCAATATGTAGTCATTTTTTCCCCAAAAACTAAACCAACATTCAAAAACCAGGTGGGAAAAATAAGTACACATTATAATTCAGTAACATGTAGAACCACTATTACCAACACTAACTTGAAGTAAACATTTCTGTAGGACTTTTTTAGTCTCTCACATTAATTTGGAGAAATTTTGACCCACTCTTCTTTACTACATTGCTTCAGTTCATTGATATATGAGGACATTCTTTTATGTACATCTCCCTTAAGATCCCGCCACAGCATCTAAATGACTTTGAGGTCTGGACTTTGACTTTGCCATTCCAACACCTTTATTTTTGCCTTCTTTAGCCATTCAGGTGTTGTTTTGCTGGTGTGCTTGGGATCATTGTCCTGTTGCATGACCTAATTTCAGCCCAGCTTAAGCTGCTGGACAGATGGCCTCACATTTGTTTCAAGAATATTCTGATATAAAGTGGAGTTCTTTGTTGTCTCAATGACTGCAAGTTTCCCAGGTCCTGTGGCTGCAAAACAAGCCCAAATCATCACCCCTTCACCACCACGATTGACAGTAATTATGAGGTGTTTGTGGTGATACATGGAGCTGTGCATGATGGCCAAACATCTCCACCTTGATCTTAACAGTCCAAAGGATATTGTTCCAGAACATTTGTGGTTTGTTCATCAACAACATAAACATTTAATGTGCTTATAGAGGCCAGTAGGTCACATGATGTAGCTCTTGTTACATCATGTAGGTCACATGATGTAGCTCTTGTTACAACAGTCTGTCCCTGGACTGAATGTGCTGGGATGCGCACTCCAGTTAAGATTGGCAACTGTCTTGAAGGATCTCTATTTGTAAACATTCCTTCTCACTGTAGAATAGTGAATTTCAAATTGTTTGGAGATGGCCTTATAACCCTTCCCAGATAGTTAAGCAGCAACAATTGCTTCTCTGGCGTCATGGCTTTCTTCTTGGCATGATTTAGACACATACCTGAGTGCTCCAGAAAACCAATCTGCAAAAAGTTCTGCTTTTATAGAGGTAGTCACACTTCTTGATGATTAACTATTCTTGTGCATTTCTTTAGTAACACCTGGCTGCTAACTACTCTCTTAATGATTGTGGAAGTAGGAAGAGTGTACTTATTTTTTCCCACCTGGTTTCTGTAAATGTTGATTTACTTTTTGGTAAAAAAAAAAAAAAAAAGACTTCATATTGTATTCTGTTGTGTTATTTTGTTGTCACCTGAGGTTATTTGTTTGTTTATAGAAGTTGCTGAGGATCACCCAATCGTTATTTACATGCTGATAAATAAAAACATAGAATTGAAGGAGGGTGTAATTTTGACTTTGACAAAAGTGACCTATAGAATTGTCAGTCCTATAGGTCAATCAATCCAAAGTTTAGAGGGAATTCTTCTATGTGAAAATGAACCCACTAGTATAATCCCTGCCCCCAAACAAACGCAGAATTGGTCAATGGTGTGGGCCCAAGTATCTGAGGCAAGTGTGAAACACTCTAATTTACAACACTGCCAATACTAGGCTAGCATATAATCAAGTCATCATTATGAAGAATGGATAGACCAAAAAAAAAAAAAAAAACATTTTCCTCCAAGATCCTTGTTTGTACTCTTATACCTGCCAAGGACTCTCTCCCCTTTTGCCAACTTCACCACCAATGAGCCAAGGTTGTAGACCTTGAAAGGGCTTTGTTGAGTAGAATGACCTAGCGATCAAAATCTGTCCACAAGACTGTTGATCTGGAAATCAGAGACATGGATACCATTTTGTTTAATGCTAATTGAAGGCAGCACTGTGCATCTCTTTATCTCTGTACTAAAAAGGTCAAATATAAACAATATGAAGACCTGGAATGCACTTAAATTCATCTATAGCAAGAAAATCACTGTGTCCTCACGTTTCGGAACACACTGTTTGGAGTCTTCATGGAGTTTGTATCCATTAATGCAGCTGCAGTAGCGTCCTGTCTTGTCTTTCGTCTCGTGGCAGTTGTGATCACAGCCTCCGTTGTCCACTGAGCAGTTGGTGTGTGTGCTGACTGAAGGTCAAATCAGCCTCAGAATACAGTCTTAAAGGAAAAATCCATCCTGAACGACTTGCATATTAATCTTTATAATTACCATTCTGTAATACAATTCTGAACTGACTTTTTTATTTAAACCATTATTCATTTAAATATTGGTCTATTTTTTTTTTTTTTTTATTTTCTTTAATTGTTTCCTACATTATACAGGTGCATTGTATTCTGGGACTCCAACTCTTGCACCAGTGTTTTTGCTACTTCTACGCTGGATTTCACATTAATACGATACTGAACTTTGGGGAGTGAGAAAAGAAGCTCTTGGTGAAACCTGACCTGATAGCACCAACCAACAATTTAGTCTTCTGTAATTCAAACTCACATAGATGGCAGTATTTTCCTTCAAAGCCAGGTTTGCAGGAGCAACTGTAGGACCGGAAATGATCCACACAAAATCCGTTCTTGCAGGCATTCGGGACACACTGGTTCCCATCTGACACGTAATAAACAATAATTCACAAACATACTATGTGGTTTAGATGAATACTCCACAATTTACTGTAAATAAGTCCAACACTCACCTGCATACACCGTCCAGAACTCTAACTGTAAGAGAAGA